CATCCAGCTACCCCCTTTTTTCCTGACTTGTAGTCCAATTCACTGACCAGTGCCCTTGGATACAATCTTCAGCCTCATGCCTCCTTGGGTCCTTAGTCACAGGAGGACCAGCCCCCACTTCCCAGGGGTCTCCTGCAGGCCCCACCCCATGCTCCTTGCTCATTCCCAGTGGCTCTTCGCCGGCCCCTCCCCCTACTTTTCTTTTTAATAAACGTGTTTGATGTTCGACCGATCAGTTGGAGGCTCACCTTCCTAGAAAGGATCTTAATCCTCCTTCTTAAAAGATCTTAAAAGCTGATTTTTTTCCCCTTAGATATTCAATTAATGTTTTAATGACCGAAGTACCAGGGCGGTTCTTCTGAAAGGATCCCAAATTTGGATTTTTTATTAATATAGAGTCAGAGGAGTTCCTTATATATTCTGGATATGGCTATTATCAGATATATGTATGAATATGTATATGTGTGTGCGCGCACGCGCGTGTGTGTAAAATGAATATTTTCTCAGTCTGTGGCTTGTCCTATCATTTTCTTAATGGTGTCTTTCAAAGAGAAGTTCCAAGCTTTGATGAAGATCGACTTAAAGATTTTTTTTCTTTTATCATTAGTGCTTTTTAAACCTGTCTTAAGAAATCCTTGCCCACCCCAAGGTAGCAAAGGTTTTTCCACAGTGTTTTCTTCTAGAAGTCTTAGCTTCATGTGTAGGTCTGTGATCCACTTCATGTTAATTTTTGTTTATGGAATAAGGTGTAGGGGGTCCAGGTTTATTTTTGTTCTGTATAGATATGTGTTTATTCTAGCAATAATAGTTGAAAAACATCCTTTTCTCCATTGAATTGCCTTAGAACCTTTGTTTTAAAAAAAATAAACTAAATATGTTTAAATCTATTTCTATACTGTTCAGTTTCAATGATCTATTGATACATGTTTGTCTCTCTGCCTCTATTCTGATTATTATAGCTTTATAGTGAGTCTTGAAATCAAGTACTATAAATCTACAAACTCTGTTCTTTTTCAAAATTCTTTTGACCAGTCTATATGCTTAGAATGAGCTTATCAAATCCCTACAAAAAATGCCCTCTAGAACTTTGATTCAGAATGCAAATGAATCAATAAATCAATTTGGCAAGAATTGACATCTTAATGGTATTGAATCATCCAATTTGTGAACACAGTATATTTCTCCATTGTTTGAGATCTCCTTTAATTTTTCACAGCAGGGTTTTGTAATATTAGTATACAGATTTTGTACATAGTGTGTTGAATTTTTCCCTATTTCATGTTGCTGATGCACTCTAAATAGTATTTTTTATTCCATTGTTTAGTTGTTCATTGCAAGAATGCAAAAATACAATTGATTTTTGCATATTGACCATGTATCTTGCAGCCTTGCAAAATTCCTGTGTTAGTTTTATTAGTTTTTGGTAGATTCCTTAAGATTTTCTAAACAGATAGGGTCCAGCACAAATAACACCCCTTTTTTATTACAAAAACTTTTATTACAAAAATTATAAGCATGTAATTCTGTAACATAACAATATCACACTCAAGCACACCATAGAACATTTTAGGTGAAATGTTCAAATTAAAACTATACATTATTATACCCATATTATTACCCTACCAACCACACTCAAGCAGGCCTTGCTTCTACCCATTTATATAAGGTATTTGAAACAACTTTGAGCACATTCTGCAGAAATCTAATGTATTAGTAAAGCCCGCAGATACACCCACAAATGATCTCACCTCCTTTTTCACCTGTCCTTTGAGAAGTACTAACACGAAAAACTATAGGATTTGTAGGACAAGGTTAGAAGTATGAGTTTGAGAGTAAATATTTGGTTCCTTGAAGGCACGGACTTTATCGAATTCATTTCTATCAGCAAAAGATTAAATTCAGCTGGTGTTACAGAGACCCAAAATTACAGTGACTTATTCAGAATGGAAATGCATTCTTCTCTCCCGTGCCCGGTACTGCTCTCAGCCACAAAAGTCCTCATGGACCCAGACTTCTCTAGAGTGCTGCCTGCCAAACCAATGATGTGACCTTAGTTATTCTTGTGGTCTAAGAGGACTGCACCCACATTCCAGCAGCAGCAGAGAGAAGAAAGGGGCAAAGACGAGGAGGAGGAAGTACAAGGAGCATGTGCCAGCTAACAGTCTGCACAGGAGACGTCTACATACGCTGTACAGTCCACTGACTGGAACTGAGTCATGTGGTCGCAGCAAAGCAAGGGTTTCGAGGCAAGAGTTGTGGAGAATAAATAGTCATTCTCTGTATTGGAAAATCTACACCTTTTTTTTCCACATTTAAATGGTGTCTCTGGAAGTTTCTGAAACAAAGTTATTTGCAACATTTCTCTTTCTGGGCCTGAGTTTTCTGGAATAGTAAAATTATGTTAACAAAGAAAGTGGAACAGAAAAGTCATACTGATACACACAGTAGGCTGTGTGGGTGTGAATAGTTTTGGTTTTCAGGCTTTGTATGGTGGACCCTGTAGTCCTCAATAAAAGTCTGTTGACTATGTATAGCGTATTCATGCTTCTAGACTCTTTGTGCCAAAAATAGAAATAAGAAAGGTGAATAAGGGTAAGTCCCACACTGTCAAAATGGTAAGATCCAGAACTGTATTAGATGCTGACTTTACTGCCTAAAGTCCTATCAGATGTGCTAGAATAAACCTGAACTGGGTCTCATTGACATGCATAAAGATAGGGATTCATGAACAGCCTTTCCTCAAGAGAGCAAAGGACATGAGAAATAGGTATCACCAGTTTTATTACATACTTTTCCAGGTATTAAAGTCTTGCACCAAACTGAGACTTTCTTGCAGCATTCAGAACAAATGGGAAAAGGCTTAAGCTAATGACTTTTCCATCATGTACTTTGATGTTCTTTAATTCCAAGCCACATACCAACTAAAATCTCATGTATCACTAATGGTACACTCTCTTGCTTAGGAAGTACATGCAAAAGGAAGATGCTGGACTGAGGAGATCTGGGTTCTAGTCTTGCTTCTGTCACTCTGAAACCTTGGAGGTCATTTAACCCTTAAGTTTTCTCCTCTGTGGTTTTATTTTTTTGTGTAGACTATTACGGAATTGGCTCTTGAAAGACATACTATAAGCATGTACGAACAGCATGCTCGAATGATGTTTTCTCACATAAGCATGAAACATGATGTCGCTTTGAACAAAGCTCTGGCTGCATCGAACATGGGCCCCAGCTGGATGGAGGGAAGCAAATGCCATTTGGATAAATACCTTGCTAAAAGGGTTGTAAAAGCCATCTGATTGTGTATAAATTAGGGGGAATGGGTCACTAGCCAAGGGCCTTAGACGGGATAAATTAGAGCCTTGAAGGCCATTTCAGATAAACTCCTCAAGTGCATGTCTAGTCTGGTTGAGTTGGGGTTTGGCGAGATGGAGAATGCCCTGCCAAGTGAAATGTGATAACCAGAGAAGGTTCTGGATTCTGAAGCAGGATGTTCAATGAGCCCTGCTGGTTTTTAGGAGGATTCCAACTGGCTCCCACGTCTCCCACCGACTCTCAGAAGGTGGAGTGCTTCTAGGTGTTGGATTGAACCTCCACCCTAAAGAGGCCTGGCGGATGGCTGCTAGGGACAGGCCGATTTCCTGGCTCGCCACCTCCGAAGTGCTGAGTGAGTGAACAGGGTGGCAGAAAACCCTCTGGAGGGATAAACTGTTTCCACGTTATTTGGGGTTTCCCATTCAGATGGTTTTTCCTACCCGCCCCCCGCCCCCACTCCCACTGGCTGTCTTTTTCTCTCCTAGGCATTTCAAAACAAGAAGGGAAGAGAAGAACCAACCCCAAAATCAAGCACTAAGTTCTAACACCTCCCTCGTCGCCATCCCTCTCCACACAGACACAATGTAAAAACAGAACGGGTTCTTTTTTCTGGGGTTAGCTTTGGTCTCTTACGTGTTAGTTCTGTTTTGGTTTTGGTCACGCTGTTTTCGGAGGCTCTGTGGCAAGGGGACTGCGTGCCCGCCCTTCGCGTGATTCTGGGTTGGGAAGGGGCGCGCTTCTGGGAGAGATGAGAAAAGGGGCGTTTGAACCTCAGGACGGCAACGTGAATCTTGGGGTCTGCCTGTTTCTTGACTGATTGGGGAAAGAGAGGGGAGAGGGTGGATGTGGGGTCTGCTCGGAGGAGCAGTACAGGCGTCCAACACGCTCGAGGTTCCCTCCCCCTGTTTTATCCAGATGGTATGTTCCAAAGACTTCGCCAAGGGAAGAAAGGTCACAGAAAGGGAGCCCAGAGCCTCAAGTTTGTTTAACTGGGAGGGCGCGTCCACGAGTGATTCTTACAGTTTGCCTCACAGGGTGTGGGCTTGAGCCTCGGCCGGCATTGTGGTCGGGGCGGGGAGAGCCACTGCCTTCCTGCAGCTTTGCCCACCTGCGGCCGTTCGGGGAAGAGAGGGAGGCACGAAGAGCACGTTGCGAAGCACCTCTGCGCCATGCCGAGTGCTGTGCCGGATGTGGCTGCATGTGTTAGTTCTTTCACCCCCACGGCCACTCTGCCACTCTGGAATTTGTTCCTTTTTTTTATTTATTATTTTTTTTTGCAGATGGAGACCCAGAGATAGAAAGCATAGTTATTGTCAACCCAAGTGGCAGAGCCAGACTCAAACCCAGGCCTGTCTGATTCCCAGGCCCAGGATTCTTTCATGTAGAGGGGTCGAGATAGAGGTCAAGGTGTAAGCGGTTCACTTCCCAGAACAGAGGGCCGGCGACAGTCGTCTCTTCATCTCCCTCTGAAAATGCTTCTGGGGCTGTAGTTGATGATGGTTTTCTTCATGAAAGGTTTTGAATCCCTCCCCGCCCCCCCGCCCCGTGCTTCCCCTAAAGCTAGTGAGTTTCCTCCTGCCACCCACTGGGGGACTCTGTCCCTTGTGCCGAGCGTGCCGATCACCTGACGCTTTTGAGAGGACTTGTTTGATCTAGATTAATGCTTTTCACTTCTTTTCTTTCTACAGATAGACCTTTCTGTAGAAACTCTCTTTAGCTTCATGCAAGAGCGCCAGAAAAGATATGCCAAATACGCAGAGCAGATCCAGAAGGTCAACGAGATGTCCGCCATCCTCCGCCGCATACAGATGGGCATCGACCAGACCGTGCCCCTGATGGAGAGGCTCAACAGCATGCTGCCGGAGGCCGAGCGCCTGGAGCCCTTCAGCATGAAGCCGGACCGGGAGCTCCGGCTCTAGAGCTGCTGCTCCCCTCCTGCCGGGCGGGTGTCCTGTGGGAGCGGAGCCCGGCACTACTGATGCCCCGAGGACACTTGGAACGGAAGTCATATGATGTGACTGGGGCTCCAAGCTGGCTGAGGGGAGGTGAAGCAGCCCCGCCGGCCCGAAAACCTGGTTGCCCCACCGCCCCCCGCCCTTTGATGGAGTTCCCTTTGCAAACTGAACCCAACAAACCCTTGGTGTTACCTGAAGTTGGAACGGTTTTATTCGGAATTCTTTACAGAACTCTGCATTGGGAATTATTTTTATTTTGTTTAGTGTTTTTGTAATTGAGAGTGTATGTTATCTAGTCGAGCTTGTGGAGTGAAAATATGGAGTGAAGGGGGAAAATATTTTAGGAAGCTCTGTGTCCTCGATGCCTCCGTGAACTTTTACTCCAGAGGCTCTCTCGGTTACGGGCCGTAAACATAAAGTACTAATTTAACCCAGGTCCGTGAGTTGTTACTGTCGCTACCCTGTTTCCACCCTGGCAGGCCGTCATCTGGGGCACCCTCGTTCCGCCCTGGTGAGACACTGGTATTTTTGTTGTGTGTCAGGTAGTGGTGTCCCTCATGTGTCATCATCACACACTGATGACTCCCTTTGTACACCCTCAGTGAGTTCACCTTCCCCACTGATAACTAGTTTCCGTGAGGCACAGTGTCGGTTTCTTTTCATTACATCAACCCTGGCAGGACTCCAATCTTTGCAACAAGGGTTTAGCCACCATTTGTTCTCCTGGCCTGGCAGACATGGGGCGCGGCCAGGCCTTGACGGGACAGTGAGCACTCGGGCAGCAGGCATGTAGGGAGCCCCTCTGATGGGCTGGGGACGCAGAAGTGGCTGCAGAGTCCCTGCCCTGCTTCTCTGAAGACAATAAACTGAGAACGCTGCTGAAATTCTCGGGGAGTTGAGGAAATGAAGCAATTTGAGTAACCACAAAAGTACTTCATGCAGTACTTTGCACATCATAAATGTTTTAATGGAAGAAAAGACTGAAGAAGCGAAGAAGTGGAAGGCAGGAACAGCGCCAGGCAGGGAAGGCGAGACAGAGCAGGGGGTGAAGGGCAGGCCCTGGGGCCCGGGTATCCTGCGGGTCTCACCCTGCTCCCTGTTCCTCCAAACCTCAGGGGTGTGTCTTCGATGTCAGAAACTGCCTTCAGGATATTTATAAGATTAAAGGTGGTCTCACTTAACGTAGCGTATCTCAGGTAAACTTTTATCTTTTTCTTGGATTTTTAAATTTTTTAAATCTTGGGTTTTAATCAGCTACGATTTTGCAAGGTTCTTAGAACCCAAAATAAAGTGTAGAACAGAAGCAACCTGCACAAAACAGTATGCAGAGAAAGTTCAATGGATTAGGATATAGTCCAGAATGGGAATGTAGTCCGGAATGGAATGTAGTTCAGAATATAGTTCTAAATGACAGAAGAAACATGAACATTTTCAACTAAATGAAAAAATTTAAAAAATTTCAGACATAGGGGGAAAAAAACAGCTTCTAGTATTTCCTAAGGACAAAATAAATATCAACATTGTTCATTCCCTCTGAGCTGGAAAGACAAGTTGGAAACCAGAGCCCAGGGAAGAGGTCAAGGTACCATCTATCTTTTTCCGAGGGCAACCCTCAACTGCCACTTCTGCCCTCCGGGGCACGGGTGCCGCTCTTTGCCCGTGAGGAAGGTGGGACAGGGGCGTCAGCCTGAGGAGGAGCCGTGGAGGACGGGAGACAGTGAGCTGGGAGTGGGGAGCTACATGTTTAACCTTTGCTGGGCCGCGCCGCTGAAGGAAGTTTGCCTTTATAATGCCTTCTGATGGTCAGGATTAAACCATTTCTAGAGCAATTCACTAAGAGTTCAAATGAAGAAAGATGTTTTGTAACTTAGAAACCTATTCAATAGCTCAGGTTATTCTGGGAAATGTCATGTGATCTGTAGCGAAGACAGCAGCAGGGATTGAGGAACGCGTCTACGTGCAGTGCCCCTCCTTTCATGTTTCCAGTTTCCACATAATTGAGGATCTAGTTCTGGATGTATTCTAACCCATTGATCTTCCTTTGCATACCGTCTCATGCTATCTGTTTTGCTTTTATATTGTTTTAATATTTTAATTCGTAATACATTTTACCAATATGCCTATTCCAGATCCCACCTACTCTATTATTTTTTTTAACTTCATTTTTTAAATGTTCAGACTGGCAGAAAAGTGAAAATCATCCAAAGAACACTCATATTCCCTTCACATAGACCGGACAGTAAGTGGCATTTTAAAGCCATTACCACAATGGTCTGTGTTTGAGTTCCTGGAGTACACAGGATCCAGCTCTGAACCGGAGGACATGCTTGTAGCTTTCAAAGAAGGAAGGGCTGGTTGCCTACGGGGCTGTGAAGTAGCTCAGGGCTGCCCTTCCCCTCGCTGTAGTTAACAATTTACGTAATGAAGTGAATTAGACAAAACATGGCATTAACTTAAAGATGTGAGTCCTAACTAGGTAGGCTACTTATTACTGGGAAGCAGCAGAGAACAATAGGTATATTCAATATTTTTTGAAAGAATTCTAATTAAATATTTATGGTGTGCGGTGGTTTTGCAATGTCCACTTGGCTGACTTGCACTGTTTCCCAGAATTCCCGTCCCTGTTTATTCCTGGCGAGGCTTCGCCACAAGGGAAATGTGCAGATTTGTCAGTGGAAGTAATGCAATGACCACGCTTACTCGCTGAGTGAGAGTTGCCATCGGTCAGGCCATGTTACACATCATGCACGTTCCATGGCTCTTGTGGGCAGCAGCTGGGCCCGCAGCTTCTCCAGCTCCCAGGAACTCTGCCTGCTGCTCTTCCAAGTGCCGGACCAGCTTCTCCTGCAAGTCGTCTGCAGCAGGGAACTAAGGCTTAGAGGAGAGGCCAGCGTGGGTTCTGGTGAGACGGATGTTGGTTCTATCTGGTTGCTTGCAGGCTTCCGCTCTACTGACTCTTTTACGAATTGTTTTGCTTGTCAGTTTACTCATCTGCATTTATGAATACCATCGAACAGGCCCCTATAATGCAGATTCCTTGTTTGACTTGTTGAAGTAGGTCTGTAGAAGCTGACCTTCACTCCTTGTGTTGTGTGTATATAAATTTTCAAAAAATGATTGCTAAAGAACACACGGTAATGTGGACTTTGAGTGCCTTAATATAGATTTTATATCTTTGTTTCCCCTCAGAGTTTTCTGTTAGTAAATTATATTCTCTGCCAGAGTATTTGATGAAATGAATTTTGAGGACTTCATACCCTGAGATAGAGGCATGCACTGAGGAAATGAGGTAGTTTTTCTTTTTAGCTCTCTAGTTATTTCTTTGCTTTTCCCTCTAATGTATGAAAAAGGTACATTATAGGTATTACAACCATGCTGTTTCCAAGGTTACATAAACTAATAGCCCTGGGGGACTGACATGTGCTACTGATTGTGTTGATTTGTAGAATTTATTGAGCTTTGGCATTCCCCCTAGCAAGACCCAAAGCAAAACCAGGAGTCTTCAGAAATTGAGGATTGTGAGCAAACACTGTATTAAATTCTAGATTCAAATTTTTCTCTTCCCAACTTGTTTTTGTACCTCAGCTAAACCCAGGTATACAGTATGCAGTAGGAAATTACTTAAAATGTTGACACTAAAGATTGTAGAGTGAAGTAAAAAATTTTCTTCCTGTGGGCTTTTTAGGTGTAAGATTTTTCTCAATCATGAGAGAATTTTGCTTCCCCCCCCCCCCCGCCCGTCCTGACTTTCATTTCTCTGTTAGGAGCTACAAAGTGCCCCAGAGATTTTATTATTCACTCATTTATAACAAATAACATTTTACTTCTTGCACACATAGAAGGCATTCAAATGTCATGGCTACAAAAAGGAAGTGTAACCAGATAAATTACTCACATTTCAGATGAAAAAAATCAAAACGCGTCCAGCAACTCAATCTAATTGGCTCCTAGTGTAACCTGTGTCTCATGTGGTGCGCAGGTGTGTGCGTGCACCCACTGCTCTGAGGAATTTGTCCTGCACCGTCAGTATCACTGTAAGGCCTGATGGCATTGATAACTGCTACCTTTTATTATATAGCGAGGCACAATTTAGCTTGAGAGCTCTGGTGAACCAAGTACTTTTAATTCAGACCATAGCTGCACTAACCTCGTAACACGGTTACATTCTGCATTTCCTGTGGGATGGCCATTCCAAGCTGACTCTGGAACCAAAGGAATGACACTTTTTTACATCAGCCGCAACTTGATGTCTATGTACATAAGCAACTCGATGTCTATGTACATAAACTGCAACGATACGATGACTTGTAAATGTCTTCCAAGAAGGTGCTGTAATTTTCCAGTTGATTTTGCAACACTTTCAAGATATAACCAGTATAATTATGCTGTACAAAGATGAATAGGTCCCACAGAATTAGAAATAACTTACTTCCCTCTTCCATTTATAGATGTAGAAGAGTAATATTCAGAGAAAAGCACCTAGAAAAATTGTTTACTAGACCTAAAACATTCCTACTTGTTACGAAACCACCACCATTTAAAATAAAATGGCAGTGAAGGTTTTAAGTGTAAAAAAGGTTTTGTCAGCTAGTCCCACCACGCACACCCTACCCCTCACATCTGTATCTTATTTCCCTAGTCTAAGCCCTGGTTACATTTTAGTTGCCAGACCCTCACTAGCCCTTCACACTAGCCTACTCACCCTCCAAATCTGTCTGCCTTTTAACAGACTGACTTGGCGGGGAGGGGGGGGGGCGCGGGGCGGGGGGTCACTTTCAGGCCTTCCCATGATCTACACCTCATCCAAGCCTCTCCCCGAGGCACCTGTTCCCTCCTGCCACCTTCCATCTTGAGGCAGATTTATTCCACAGGCCCTTTTCTTTTGGCACCTCCGTTTTTCTGCGAGGTCCTCACCAAGGCAGCTTTCCTCGTCCTCACTCACCCCGTCCGATCCTTCTTTTAAATTTCCTTAAATCTATCTTTAACCCAGAAACCTTTCACAACTGACTTCAATGACGTCACCTGTGATTTTTATCATAATCACTCCATCAGCCTGCACTGAACGGAAACGTTTAGTCCCTCATTGCGTGCGTGGTTCCTTACTAACAAACGGCGAGACTAAGCTTCTGGCCTCTCGAGTCATCATGCCCAGTGTCACTTAGAAGCAGAGAGGTCATGAAGATGGACATGGCAAGAATGGAGACAGGCCTTTAGTAACCATCCCTCCTCCGTTTCTCCTACAAGTGTAGCGCCACTTATATTCATTCAGTGTACCACGCACGTATACCCCATCTTCTTTCTTCCTGCCCTGTGCCTGTTCTGGATGCGATCAGTCAGCAGATACGTAGCCAGTGCCTCGGGTTTCCACACTGTAGTGTGCATTCGGAGCAAACATGAACGAAGGCAGGCGGGCACGAAACTGCTCACGACCCAGTGTTCACTGTGAATGACGGAGCTCGTAATGTATCTGATAGCCTCACCATTTTATTTGGAGCTACATCCCCTTTGACAGAAGAGCAGGATAGGTTCCACCACTGCTCCTTTAACAACTTGGATATTGCTCTTCCCACCAAGTTTATAGCTGCAAAGAGAGGTCCTTTCTCAATTTAAGTATAAACAGGTACCAGTTTTGATTTTATTTCATCGTATGAACACACATGACACATCAACATGAGAAATGCACAAGTTAACCATTCAACAGCTTGCCTTATTCCAAAAGAACACTATATTCATATTAAACATTTACACAGTCTCTCCACCTAACTTTACAAATGTCCTAAACCATTTCCCAGCATTTCTCACACAGAAGTCTAGTTTTGCTCTTTTAAAATCACCGCTCTGTATCATCCCAGGAGACCCCACGGCTTCCCCTGGGCTCACATGCTGAGGAGGGCCAGCCGCCCCGCCGCCTGCAGACGCCCGCGTGCTCCAGGACGCGCCTCACAGGCTGCCCTTCAGCATGGCAGTCTTGATTCCAAGAACTGATTATTTGACGTTAACGATCAAGGACTACAGGTTGTAGTGTATGAATACATCACAGTCACAAGAAGGAAGGGGACCATGGTCAAGAGAAATTCCAAATGATGGAAGGCAAATTTCTGCCCAGCTCTCTCATCTGAACCAAGTCCCCCAACCCTCCTGAAACACTTACTATTGGAGCTATTGCTTTCATTTCTTAAAAATGTTCAACAGTTGTGACCAGACTCTGAAAGCAGTGAGCTGTTACACATTTGTGTGTGTATACTGAACACATCTAAAGTTACTGTGTGAAACCTTGAGAAGGTCTGATTACATCCAAAATGTAAAAGTATGAAGAAAAACTCAGATGATTTAACAGAACTTTTTCAACATGGTAACAATGCACTCCCTGTGCAGTTTACGCTCTTTCTGCCTTTAATTTAAACCCCCATCACATAGCACATTATCTGTGCATCACCAGTCACGTTGTTCCAATCAAGTCATGTCATTTTATGCTGGCTTTAGCAGTCATCAGAGGAAACATTAAGTTACATCCTAGTCAAAAGACTGTCCATTTCTCAAACATAGAAAAACCTGAGATATGAGTCAGCAACTAGCTACACTTACAGTAAAGAACAATGGTAACACCCCCCCCCCCCCAAAAAAAAGCTGCTGACGTGAATTAAGGCTTCAAAACAGGACCACACTGTAGTTGACAAAACCCAAGCCAGGAATTTAAAAGCAGGTATGTACTATCACTTGTTCTAATTGCCTATTTCCAGCTGCCAGGATTGACCCCATAGTGATCGTAGGTCAAGGACTGAGAGGCTGCCTTGGTCCCACCTCAGCTGGGTATGTCCCTTCTACTAAAAACATGCTGAGGGTATTTTCTGAGAACAGCTTGCCTGTGGCTTTCCACTCTGCTCCCAACGAAACGAGTCTCAACCACATTCTCCTCACCTTCCTGATCTGTTTGATTCTGAACACTCCTTGCTCACTAAAGCCTCTCTCAGCCCAATTAGCAAATCTCAAAGTCTAAGGATATTCTAGAAACACCACCCTCATCACATGCTAAGGGGAAAATAACCATTGAGAAATAAGTTCCCTGCTTCTCCTCAGCAATTCTACAAACTTCTTTAATCCTTCTCCCTCTTGGTAGCTTCCCTTAAAAGTCTACCTTACTGTTTTCACAAAATGTATCTGGGCCATGAAACAGATAGGAAACATCGACTCTGAGAATCTGAAGGTGCTGCTGCCCTGCTAACAATCCGAATAAATTCACATCTGGCTTTAAACCAAGTTAATCTTTATTTAAAGGATTACCAATCCCACTCTGAAGAATTCTTTTGATTTATGAAGAGGGAGGCAGACTTGTTTAGCCTCCCAACCTTAGCTTAAAACACTAGCTGCCAGATTCCTGGCTGTTACATTGAATCCTAGATGGTTTCCTTTCTTTTTCTTCACAAAGCTGAGAAGGAAGGAAAATACCCCCATCCGGGCCCAACTGGAAATTTGTGCATAGACAGTTTGAATGGGTCTGAAAAGTGTGACTAGCTACCAACCTATTCACAATGCCGAGAAAACGGGCTCCCAGACACGGCAGCGGTGAAAGCCCCAACTTTCTGTCTGAGGTACTGGGTTTGCTCTGAAGTAGATCTTGGCAAGGCCCCTAATGGTCTGAACAGGAGAATGACGCTCGACTCACTCAGCTGTCCCATGAGCTTGGATTTGTGAATCAGCTTTAGATGTGATCGTTTCTCGTGGATTTACCATTAGGTTCTGTCCCGAGTAGGGCCTACCCACCCGACCCACAAGCTGGCTCAGTCTCAGCGCTAAGGTGCACTATGGAAGGACGGGACAAAGGCTAGTACGTGAGATTTCTGTAGCACGACATGAAAACAGGAGGGGATTTTGTCCTCCAACACCAAATAAAACTTGACTTAGTAAGAACGAGAGGATGTGCAATTCACTGCATGTAACTTTTATCTGTCTGCGGGAACTCTAGCATCTGCCCTTCCACTTGCGTTGAGAGAAATAGTAGCTGGTCTCTCAAATGCAGATGTTGAGAACAATTGTGTTGATCCATCTTTTGCTTTTACACCATAGCTCCATTTCCCAAAAATATATATGTATGTACATATATATATTTCAGATTTACAGGGAATATTTTTTTGTGAACAAGCAAAAAACTGTCAATAGAGTCCCAAGTGTCTTTCTTCTCAGGAGACCTCAATGATTTCCATGCTGCCTGAGAAGCTAGACTGGCTGCCCACTTTCCCCAGTTCTTCCCGCGACCTGTTCTCTGACATGATGCCCTCGCCAAATTCCATCTGGCAGCTTCTGCGTTTAAACTGCTTTTCAAAGGGGCTCTCTTCATGCCAGCTCCGCCGGGAGTCGGCTCTGTCGCTCGGCTTCTGCCGCCTGCGCACAGAATAGACTTGGTCACTGCACGTGGGCAGCTGGCTGCAGCTGTAGGCAGAGTAACTGGCATTGCCTCCGTAGATGGCGGAGGCAGAGTAGAAGTGAGAGGACTCCGTGGCAAAATACCAGCTGTTGGTCAAGGAAGGGGTGGAGGTCTGGGGAGCCAAGATATCTGAGTGCCAGCCCTTGAGGCCCAGTCCAGCGGCAGACTTCGCAAGGTGTTGCTGGCTGGTGGAAAGGCCAAAAAGGAAGTTGGTGTGGTAGTTGTCCTCCACGCTCCCGCTTCGATGCAGAGGAGACAAAAAGGACCTTTGGGTGGCACCACTACTGCTGGTTCTTACTGAATGTAATCGCTTGTTCTGGCTGTCTGGAGGCCTGGAAGTCTGGGGCTTCTTAGGGATGCTGGCTTCCTCCTTATCTGGGCTGGTTTCCGGAGTCTGCTCCGAAACCTCCTCAACTGGGGAGAACTGGCATAGCTTGGTGGGCCCATCCAGGGTCGTGGAAGGTTTGTAGTAGTCCAGAGTGTCTTCTGACGAGGAGAAACCATGCAAGGATGCTGCCATGCTGGCCGAGTATGAAACTGATTTGATATCCAGAGAGAAGGAACGCTTGAGCTTATTGCTATCTTCCAGCTTGTCTGAGGACAGGTGGAGCCCGTTGAGCGCCTGTACCAGCGGGCTGTCCTCTAACAGTGATGGCTGTACGCTGGGCACACTGGCAGGATGCACAGGCCTTTGCCCTGCTGCCTCTGAGGTAGCAGAGTTGGCACAGGGTGGACCGAGGGACATCTCACTTCTCTGTCCACCCTCTGAGGCTGCAGGGACAGGTTCGTGCGGCTTCTCCAGGTGCAGCAGCTTGAGTTTGCTCTTTGGCCCTGATGCTCCGGTCTGGTTCTTAATCTTCTTCTCATAGTCCAGAAGTTGGCCCAGAAAGTTGAAGTTTGGAGATATAGTAGGTCTTTTTTCTTTCACAAATCTATGCAGAGAGGAACAAACAAACAAAACTCCTTGAATTTTATGACTACTCTTTTATCTTAAGAATATTAAGTGAACGAATGAGACGGCGAATTATTAGGCCCTCCCAAATACCTTTGAAAGATGACTGTTCTAATTAGGGAGGCACTTCAAGGTAGAGAACAGAAGGGCCTCTGCATTGGGGAGCTTTATAACATGTCCCTGGAACATGCTAGAAAGGGGGGGTGCCAGGTCCCCAAAAGCTCTAGTTTTAGTTTCATTTTCTAGGACCCAAAGCTTCCAATGTAATGGCTGTGATGGCTCTCTCCTCACCACCAGGCTCCCCCCCTACCCCACCCCCGGTGCTACCATCAGAAAGAAGTACAGTATAACAGCTACTTTTCATCTTCAATTCCCCAATATCATGCCTTCTCAAAGTCCCCAAAGTGACTTCCTCAAGAGAGTTCACATTTTAAATTTTTGGTCAAAAAAGAGGGTATCAGATGGCCAGAGCATCAAAGCACACATTTCCAAGTTCTTTCTCTTTGTTCTCCGTGTGACAGCTACAGTGGTCTCTGTGTGTGCGTGCCCAGCACTATGCTAATGCTTTAAATCAAGTTAAGAGTATTATCTCATTCAGTCTTCAAAACCACTCCGTGTAGGGTGGGTATAACTATCCCCATCATATAGGTGCCTAACACCCTTAAGCAACTTGCCCCAAATCACACAGCTACTAAGTGGTGGCACTGGGATTCAAAACCAGGTCTCAGTTCCATGTCTGTCACTGCCACATTGAAGAAGATTCATCAAGGGAGCAACACAAGTCATAAATAGCTGTTACATGTCACCGCGGAAATACACTTAAAAGATAGCAGATAAAGTCCTTAGTGGCCCCTGGCCGTCAGGGACACTCCTCAGAAGATGCAGGAGTGAAACTACATTGAAAATTATATTTGAATAAGGAAAGAGAAAAATAAAAAATAAACTTCTTGGAAATCAAGTAACCTAAGGCAAATTAACAAAGCCAGAACTGACTGACTCAACTATAACAAGTATAAACATAGAGTCCTCATAGTAAGACATGATATAAGGTGCCTTTTCTCCCGGCTTCTGCGTGGCACGGGAGGAGCGCAGCGAGAAGTGCCTGGAGGGAGGACGACAGGGCCAACGCAGACGGAGGGAGGACCCCTCTGTTTGGATTTGTTGTTCCTGAAATATAAAAAGTAGCTAAGGAGGCAACTGACATGTTAGAGTAGAATTCATGTTAAATTATAAAAGTGCATTCTTCTCCAACCTTCGAAAAGGCCATTTAAAAATCCAGTTGCCTGTAAAGAGTGTAACCAGAATAATCGTGACCAGCTTTATTTAATTTTGTTGCTCCCCCGCCCCCTCCCGCCTCCCCCGCCGCATATCCCGCCACGTTTCAGGGCCTGTGAAGAGGCAGCCACTCAGGACATGCTCCTGCCCTCACCTGTAAGCTTCGTCTAAGGACATGTCCATCCGCTTCATGATGTAGGCGATGGCAATGGTGGCAGAGCGAGAGATCCCCGCCAAGCAGTGCACCAGGACGCACCCGTTGGAGGCTTTCGCTTTTTCTGTGAGTCAAATTCAAGAAGGGTCAGTGTCTTTCGTCTGACTATTACAAGTACACCTCATCATTTATAGGTATCCCGTTTCGACAGTCTTTTAAGGAGGCAGGGGAAGGTCATCTGCCCACCATTTACAGATAGGACAATGAAGGTCCAACCACGTCAATAAGTGATTTGCCCCTGACTCAGGTGGACTGACTCATTCAGTGCTGTTTGTCATGTATTTTTTGCATTTTTTATTTTAATAACTTTCCCAGTGTACAAATCCTACATTATGATTACATGACTCTACTTGTTTAGTGTAGAAAAATTCAGAAACACAGAAAAACATAAAGGAAATAACATCCAAAAATCTTAAGATTTAGTTAATATCTTGTTTACCCATGTTGACTGTCATTTCAGTTGTTTTCTAGTTAAGAGATATTACATTTTTCGCAGTTTTTATATATAATTGACAAAGGTGTACGACATAATTTGGTATTAAGAGATACTAAATTTTCCAAAATATTTTTCACTTTAGTAACACACATTACCGTTTACACAGCAGGGATGTGGGCAGATTCAATCACAATGGCACCGTGACACAACACAGAAAGATGCCAGGTCAAGCTCCTTTTAAAATGCTGACTCACAGAATCCGCAGTATGCCTACTGTTCGCTAGGAGACTTCTCTGTATGCCATAAAGTGGCTTAACTTTATTTGCTGAATTTAAGAAGAAAACCAAAATATACTATAAAGCAGGTTTAGTAAGTCACTTTAGTCAGGACCAAGAGAACTGTCATCCCTTCCTTGATATCCAGGAGTTACTGTCCGATTACGTACTCTCCACACCTAGTAACACGATGGAATGAACGACTCGTGGACACTGTCAGAACCAAGGACTGAGGCAATTCAACGAACAGTGCTGCCATCTCTCACTGCTGCTTCAGTCGCTTCCTTGTGGCCCGGAGGCAACTAACACTGCAACCAGTACTATGACGGCCTCAGTTCCAAATGATTACATGTGCCCTCGCCCTGAGCTGCTGCCCTGGAGCTCAGTTCTTCCCTTTTCATGCCTGTTTCAGTGGATACGACCAAAAGGTTACCAAACCATACATTAAAATTCTTGTACTTAACAGATATCCGAGGAACCATCTCTGGCAGCTAAATAATATGAAGCTACTCCAATCTTACCACCTGTTATAAATATTACAAATTTCTACTGTATATGACTAATTATTCATTATGTACAAAACACCACAGGGTTTTTCAATAGCATGTGAACAATCAAGCAGCTTCCCTTTAAATAGAAACATCGAACACAGTAACACAAACAAATACAGAGCAACACTGAAGCAAGCACTATACAACATGTTACACAAACCCATGTTCTGAAGTCCCGCGCCTTCCTGGGCCTACCCAGGTCTCTTCCTTCTCTAGCTGTACAGTGGTTAGTCTACACCACTCTCAGTATTTCCCCTTTGCCTTGGCTGCTAAGAAGCTCAAAGCTAAGCTTTTCAATAGGTAATGGTAAATTAAATAAAATTTAGATTTTATTGTATCTCATATTACTTGGTTCCTGCCCTTTTATTCCATTCTAATATGTATGCCTGTGAATATGTGTATCTTTTGATCGCAATCTCTTACTGTGAGCTGCTATAAATTCCTATTGGAAGTAGCCTGGGTTTAAATTTTTGTTTTAATATTGACAATATCCTTTCATTATTTTAAATAATTATCTCAAAACTAGATTACAAGGACCTAGAAGGGTCTTGTTTCTAAAATTCCTCCCACAGGACTTAACACTGGTTACATGATAAATACTGGCTAATGGTAAATAACACACATTTATAAAAAGCAATCTTTATTTTAAAAAAAAGTTTTTGAAAAAGGTTGGAAATAAATCCTAATAACAGATGTGTTAGGATGTTGAGATTACAGGTTTCGTTAGCTCTTGTTTTATAATTTTTTTTGCACTTCACTTACACTGTTTTTGCAATTACAACTCTTTTGATGATATATTTTTAAAAAAGTGATTATACCAGAGTGGGGCTCATGAGAACATACTTCTTGGCAGAAGTTGAGTGCTAAACGGAGTCTAAAGCAGAGGACATAATATACACAGACCTGGCAGAGAGGAGGGACACGTGTATAAGAAAGCCCTATGGCGACAAACTGCTCCGAAAACAGTCTGCCATGGTCGGTGCTCATGAGCGGTGCGGGAAGTGACCAGAGAGAAGGTTTCACAGGTGGGGAGCAGGCGCTGGCGGGCCTGGGTATTTAGGCCAAGGACTCCTGGGCAACTGAGGAGCCTCTGCAGTTTCCTGAATGAGGAACAAGATGGCACTGAGGGTGCAAACTGGTAATCTTGAAAAAGCAGGTTACAACCACGGCAATTCAGGGATGAAATCTAGGTTAACAAAGGCTGAGAAAATAACAGGTGTAAAGGGTAAGGGGGAACCAGTGAGGACAACACGTTTCAAAGGCTAACAAGAAGGTAGAGTAATGGAGGTTACAGAGGACAGCTCTAAGAAAAAAGAAAAGGATTCATAATAATTTTAAAAATAGCTACTATTTATTAGCCAGGCACTTTGCAAGATACTTAACATACATTATCTCTTTTAATCCTCATAATATCCCTATGAGGTAGATATGTTATCTTCAGTTTCCACCTCAGGAAACTGAGGAACAGAGAAGTTTAAAGTGACTCACCCAAAATCACTTAAGAAAGGCAGGTCTGAAATACAGTTTGGCTCCAAGGTATATGCTCTTAATTACCTCCATGCAGAGTCAGGAGTCTGGTGCCGGTGAGGCGGGGTGGAGCCGAATGTGAAGGGAGCCCGAGGCAGCAGGGCAGCCGGCTGGGACGGGGGCACCGCAAGTCCCCCGCAGCACAGGCAGGCAAACCGTGCTCACTGCTGCCTGCGTTAACTGAAAATAAAGGCCAAACTCCACGAAAACCTGAGCCCTCCCAAGAAGCCCAGAAACTTACTGAAATGTGAATAATAATAAACCTACAAGTCTATCAGTAATTAACTCCTGGTACAGGGGCATATCTTCTAATGATATATTCTGCCATGACTGACCATGGCTTCAAAATGCCCTGCAGAAGACTAGCAACCACAGTGAACAAGGGCCTGCTTCCCAAACTGGGCTGGAGAACTGGCCCTGAATCATTGGACGGGGTAAGGATGGTGGCCCCAGTAAACAATGTCAAGCACGTGAAAATATGTTCAGGTACTACAAACAAATTACATTACGTGTTTGTGTGCGTGTGTATTTAACCGACTTGGAACATGGTGAAGTTCCTTTTGGATGAATTAAACGTGGCAGGATGACACCAGTATCTCCCATGAACGAAGAACGTAAGTTGAGGACAAAGTTATTCACCTTCTCTTTTCAATTAATGCTCCAAAAGCTTAGACACTGTCACAATTAATGAACTCAGGTTCTCTTAAATAGATTCTGAAATTGCACTTTGAGCTGGGGTTAGAGCCAATGTCTCTGGGATCAATGCCATAGGCAATGAGCACATTAACCATAATTGTTATCTTTTAAAAGAGGCAAAAACTAAATTATACGCTAAGTGTTTCCTAGAAGTACAATGGGGGTTTTAATTTTAGGAGTTTTGTTTGTGATTATTTTAATGTGAAATAGCTAAGCTATTTATCTTAAGATGCTTCACAGATCCATCCTAATTAAAGATGAAAACTCTTTGGCCCTGGCCGGGGAGCTCAGCTGAGTAGAGCATCGTCCCAACAGGGCACAGACAAGATCAGCCAATGATGCACAAAGAAAGTGGAGCAACACATCAAGGTTTCTCTCTGTCTTTCTCTCCCTCCCTGCCCCCCTCTTCCTTTCTCTCTAAAATCAATACATAGCATTTTTTAAAAAAGATGAAAACTCTTGGCAATTTAGAATCTTTAAAAAAAGAGAGCTGTTTCAGAATTACCCAAAGTTCTAAAAACATCTCAAAAATTTCCCTCGCAGATGAAAGTATATATATATATATAGTGAGAGGCTTAATTTACATAATTTCACTTTTTAAAAGGAACTAGTTCTTTTTTGGGGGTAAATTACAGTTAACCAATTCAGAGTATTTTAATTATGAATTAAAGTGCTCAAATTTATGAGCCTTGGGGGGTAGGGGTGAGGGAAACAAAAACTCACGCGGAACACCATGAGCCAACCCTGCCGTGCCGCTCAAGAGCCGGCAGTGTTTCTCCTCTGCTCCCCGCTCTCCACTAAGACCACGTTGCAAACACACATCACCAGCTTAACTACCAGCAGACCTGACCCTGCAGCACTGAAACGGCACACCACCACCTGAAACTGGGAGTCGAGCTGTGGGGTGCAGTGGCTCCAGGAGTGACATTGTGGTACAAACTAGACTGTGTCACAACTAACGCCAAAGAAATGAGCGAGAGAGAGAAAGAGAGAGAGAGAGAGAGAGAGAGAGAGTATGTGTGTGTGTGTGTGTGTGATAATTTTATTAGATCCACCACTACTTGAAATTATTGGCATATGGACTGAGGCTTAGAAATCTTGTGACACGAAGACTTTAAATATAACGGGATTTGTTTCCACAGGATTTGACTTTTCTCTGGGAAAAACACTGCAGCAAGAGGAAAACAGTTTAAGGAAAGCCACCAAAGTTTCCAAAGTATTTTATAGGATTTGAAAAACTGGGAAACAAATTTAACCCCAAAAGTCTGATTTTCAAACGCTTGCAGACACGCAATCACACAGATCCTATCAGGCTTAACCTTGGTAGTGTTCAGTTAGCTAGAATGTCACAAGGCCACTCCCTGGGGAGAGTGTGGCACGCACACATCACCTTGGCCACTAAATGAGATAAAGCAGCATCATGTGTTGTTTCAGACTTTTGAAATCTCTGAAATAAGCTTCTTTTCTCTAAAGAAAAAAAAGGGGGGGATGGGAAGAAAGGGTACACTATACCAAAGGACTTCTAATATTACTCGAGCTACTTACCAATGAAATCTACAGATCTGTCCAACCATGGCAAAATTTTCTCACAGAAGCTATCATTCACAGGCACTCGCAGGAAGTGAGACTCAGGGATGAAGTCAGGCTTTGGGCAGGTATTGCTGGCGTTTAACACGTAACCAATCCCATTCTGTTGCATCAGCTCCTGTGGAGCGAAAGGGCAATTAAAATGACTAACAGCATACGAGCATGGTGAACAGGGCTAATTAACAGGGCTAAGTGCTCTATCCACACTTTTAATTTCATCGTGTCCCACTGCCCATTCCAGGCCCCACACAACCTCCAAATCCCCCGACATCACACGTACACCCGCCCTCCGGTGCTGTCGTTCATGCTGCTCCCGCGCTGAGCAGGCCCTGTTCCTCTCCCACTCTTCCTACTGTTTAAATTAACCTTGCTATGAACTCTTTCCCACTGCTCATAATTAACCATTGCATTCTCTGTCCTTTCGAAGTACTCTGTGCACACTACTTATTTTCATTCTGAAAAATTACTAGTTTCCTTGAAATAATCAGAGTTTGTTCAATACTTGTTTCCTAGAACTGGTCAGGGCTCATTCAACGGGTGAAACCCAAAGATCTAGCACAATGACATTACAGACTTAATCTAAAAATAGAATTTTCTTTTAAGTGTGAAAAAATCTGTTTAAAATAGTGTGCTTGAAGATCATACAGCATTAACAGAGCCAACTCTCAATCACTTTGTTACCAGAGAAGTAGAACAAAGAATACATCATAAAACCGCAACAGTTTACTATGACATCAGAACATGGGCACACACAAGAACATTTTCTTCCCAAACTGAACATGCTGGCAGTCCTCTAAGATAAAAGTTCTAGGCAGTCTTCTCACTCTAAATATTCATTTTAAAGGCTGAATCAATTTACACAGGTTTAATTATCAACTTTACATGCTGATGAGTCTTAAATATATACACCATTTTCAATTTCTAACTACCTACAGGACATCTCTAGCTGAATGTTCCTCAAGGTCTTCAGACTCAACATGTTGAGAAGCTCAATACATTATTTTTCTCTCTTCTCTGCCCCAAATTCCTGTTTCCTCCCTGTAATCTAAGATTAGTTTATGGTAATAACATCCCCCCAAACACCTGACCTAGAAACCAGGACCATTTCATTTGCTTCTTTCTCACAACTCCCATATCCAAATGGGTGCTGAATCCTTTTGGTATTAGCTCTCCTGTTTATCCTCTATTTTCGGGGACTACTGATCGGTGGTCAGCTCCTCATCATGGTAACACAAAAGCCACCAGGGAGCTCCTGAAGTGTGCAGTGTTTTCTTCTCCAAACCATAAACTAAACAAACACTAGAGTAATCTTTCTTAGAATTAACAGGGCTAAGTGCTCTATCCACACTTTTAATTTCATCGTGTCCCACTGCCCATTCCAGGCCCCACACAACCTCCAGATCCCCCAACATCACACGTACACCCGCCCTCCGGTGCTGTCGTTCATGCTGCTCCCGCGCTGAGCAGGCCCTGTTCCTCTCCCACTCTTCCTACTCTGTTTAAATTAACCTTGCTATGAACTCTTTCCCACTGCTCATAATTTAAACCACTGCATTCTCTGTCCTTCCGAAGTACTCTGTTCACGCTATTAGCAAAGCATGTAGCATACTATGTTATAATTAGCAGATAATTCTTGTCTGCGCTATTAAGTAGTGAAGTATGAGATCTTGGACTGATTCTTGCTTGTTTTTCTATCTTCAGCACCAGATACATAGTTCATTCAATACGTGTTTCTTCAGCTACGCCCCGTCTACCATTTTCCAGGCAAGTCTCTACGACCCGCTGCGTTTAGTCATCCACTGCCGCCTCTAGGGAAGTGTTCTAAGCCTGAAATAATTCTCTCATAAGCAACTCTGGTCACTTCTTCCTTTTCTTGTAATGCCACCTCCTCTACAAATCTTTTCCAATGACCTGAACGACAGTAATTTTCTTCCTTTTTTACCCTCCTGAAAGTTGCCAATTCCTTAATCCCTTCATTTACCACATTTGGCACAATAAATAGACTTTATTTTACGTAAGATGCAACCCCATCTCAATTGTGAGACGACAAAGTCAAGAAATAGCCTTTGGGACTAGAGGAGCTTCTTCCAGTGACGGGCCTGCGCTGTGCCCAGGCCCCAGTCCTCTGATGGTCTCGCAGGCTTCTGTGAGGTTAATAATCAGGGGGCGAAGATCTTAATGGTGTTTACTACTACAGCTTTTAAACTCTGTACTTGTAGCAAAGGTCACATCTGTTTTTCTACGTTGAGATCACCTACTACCGTATCTCCCATATAAGAACAGCGGTAGGTCAGGCAGGAGTGACTCAACACCAGATAGCTATCTGAGGACACTTATCTGAGTCTTAGCCGCGTCACGCTCCCCCCAACGCCCCCACCAGTGGTGCCTCCATTGCAGCCAGCAGGCAGCGCAGGGCAGGCCTTTCTGCCACGTGTGGGCTGGGGAGGGTCCCTGAGACGAGCCGCACATTCACTGGCCTCACACCGACCGTTGCCACCATCAAACTGCCCTGTGAGGCCCCACAGACAGGAAACGTGGAAAAGGGGCAGTTCTCACCTAATTTAAGAAACATCAATAATCCAAGCTTATAACGCTGTTTATACCTCAAAGGTATTCTTCATTTACAAAACAATGTACCAGAAAAGATGCACTTAAATAGTATCTTTATTTTAGGTAAATGGCAAACGGGGGGGGGGGGGGGGACATTAATGTGTCAAAATTGAATGATAATAAAATAATTGAAACAAAATGAGAAAAAAATGGGATCACTCACTGGATTTATAAAAATTTTACTTTTAGAAAATTTGTTGAGTCAATGTATCCCAGTGTTACCTGAAAATTCTTTTTGTAATAAAATGGGACTTAATAAATAAAACACAGTCAATTTTTAAAACAAAAAAGCAAACAAAAATCCTAAAATGCCACCATATAAAGTTTAAATATAATTTGGCTACTGAATTAAATACCATAAATAAGTACCCTCTCATCTGGATTTGTAGTTACTACATCTGTGGAAAGAGTCAGTTAGAGGAGAAAATGATATATATGTACTTGAAATATTTTAACTCAAAACCAAAAATGTACATAAATCTGCTAACTTCTGATGTGGAAGGGAGCACGGCTTTTCTCGTCATAGATTTGCTGACTGGAGTTTGTAAACAAATCACAACCAAAAGCATCTACCACTTACGTTTCCATTTCTTTAATGGGCAAGAACTTGTGAAACAATATCAGAACAGAATCTTTCTAGATCGTTACTGTCCCCTAAGTATTTTACAGTTGCCTTCCTCCCACCTACTTAGAAAAAATCGTAAATCAATGTGTCTTTCCTGACTCTTTCAAAAACATTTCACTTAAGTCACAGAAAAACAATTCTCTTCCCTCGCTCATACTTCATTGGTGTAGGTAATATTTTAATTAATGTACATTAGTGTAAAAAAAGTACACCGGCCTAAACAGGTTTAAGAACAAACACAACTGCCTCTGGCAGCAGTGGCAGTAGACAGCAGCCAGGGGCTCCGCGCACCCTGAGCCGGGTGCTCACCCGCCAAGGGCATCAGGGCAGAGGCGGCGTGCGGCTCTGAAGTTACAGTTCCTGCTTAGGTTTCACATAACCATTCACTCACTCCATCTCCTGATTATTCTCATGTGCGCACAAGTGGCTGAGAGGGCATCTCCATCAATGTTTCTGAGGATGGTACTGTGACGGGACTTCAATTCTGAATGGGTCTATGCTATAAAATAATGGTTGCTTTTCTTCATAGGTGGATGTCAATGACTTCTTACTAAATTATAAAGATATTTATGTTATTCATTCAGTTTTGTTTCAGTATACTGTGTAAAACATACGCAACTGAATATTACCTAACCTCCCTCAGCTTTAGTTTCCTCACCTGTAAAACAGGAGGTTATACAATGTTATGTGTCTATTACATCTCAATAAAAAAGCATATAAACCCTGTGGTATATGAATTATATTCAGTAAAGCTGTTGCCTCCTGCCTCCCAAAAGTCTATAATGTATACTTTTCACTAATTCAAACTGTCTTTTCTCCTCACTGGCCTCAAGTAGGGAAATTACACTGAATGTAGCAGACTGGTATAAAAAAGGGTCCGTGTGGTAAAGTAGAAGAGATTACACCCTAAGAATTTTAAAAAATGGATTCTGGTTCCAATAGACACCTAAGAAAACTTTAAAAAATAAAATTTGTGAGTCAGAAATAAATCTGTATTATTATGATTTTCATGCACTATTTTTCCCCCCAGTAAGTTTCCTTTCTCTTAAACCATGACATAAACTTTCCCTGTAGTTAAACTAATTTTTATTTTTTATTTAATTTTTTAAAAATATTTTATTTATTTTTATTTTTAGAGAGGGGAAGAGAGGGAGAAAGAGAAGGAGAGAAACATCAACGTGTGGCTGCATTTCGTGTGCTCCCTGCCGGGGACCTGGCCCGCAACCCAGGCGCATGCCCTCACTGGGGATCAAACCGCTGACCCTTTGGGTCACAGGCTGGCGCTCAACCCACTGAGCTACACCAGCCAGGGCTAGTTGAACTAATTTTTAAATAAGGACTCTATGATCTGTAGATGTAGACTGTGGAGTAATATACACAATACAGATTAATATATAACCCTAATAAAACTGCCCTATTTGGCCAAGCTTCCCACGTTCAGCGTGGCTGACAACAGAGATCCCATTAAATCACCATGCACATTGCCACTCTAGATAATGGAACTGTAATTTTTCTTTTGGGAGTCAATTCAATGAATGATTTTGCATTTGCCACGCCTTTTGCCTTCAAAATTGACCTTAACTCCTACTTCTTCCACCTAGCCTTCCTCAACCAACCACTCCCACTGTATGTCCACACCACTTCCCCTAGCATTGGGTATAATCCACCTTGTGATGATAGTTAATGAGTATCCCTATAAACCAGGTACTGTGCCCAGTGCTTCACATATGTCATTTCATTTGAACCTCACATGAACACTGAGAGGCAAGCATCATTACAGCTTGCCGGTGAAGTAACCAAGATTCAGTAACTTGGCTAAAGTGATGTGGCTGGTAAGGTGGAGACCTGGGAGGCAAAGCTGCCCGCTCCACCGCTGGCTCCCAGTCATCATGCCACGCTGCCTCGGTGTCGGGGGTTAGACCGTCAATCACCTCACCTTGTGAATTATTTTTAAAGGAACACATCTTGGCTAACCAACTTGTACTCCCGGTGATGTTGTATACATTGTGGACACTGAATAAATGCTGTATTTTTACTGATAATTTTGATGACCTTTGTCTTCCTAGGTCATTCGGAAACCCTGAGAGCAGCGTATACTGTGTCTAGGCTATTGCCTACCTTGTACAAGAAAACAACAGAGAAAGTAGCAGTAGTCCTTGTGGCAGGCAGAACAGTAAGGCAGCAAGGCAAAGCCCACTCCGCATGGTAAAAGACAACCGAAGCTGCGCAAAGAACGCTGGCAGCACACTGCTTCCAAAGGGGGAGAGGGGGCCGCAGGACACTTTAGCGAAGAGGCTGGAGTGGCTCACCACATCCAGTTCTGGCTTAGTAACTACTTGTAGTAGGTAATTCCGTCATACATTTCGTGTATTTAAGTGTGAAACAAAAGTCCCTATTTGAAATTCTCAGTGATAAGGGAGAAAAACGATCAAGAACTTTTGTCTTTCACATAGTAACTAGAGATTCTTGCTCAAGCCTCACTCAGTTCAGATGTGAACTGGGCATCAGCAAACTACTTTCAGTATAATAAGCTGTTCCTGTTCCAACTCTAGTACAAAGGCTAGAGGATAAAGAACAGATTGTGAGAAACAAAAGTACAGTTGTGCGGGAAAAGGAAAATAAAAGTATTCTTTTTGCTACCAATGACTTCTTATGGCCTTTTACACAAGAGCCATGTCTCTGAAACCTAAGTAAAAACTAATACACGCAGAGAGTAGTGACCTGCACTGTCCAGGGTGGTTGCCACAAGCCACACGTGGCTACTGAGCACCTGAGATGTGGCTGGTCCACACTGAGACGTGCAGAAGCTATAAAATATATGCCAGATGTCAAAGACTCAGTACAAAAAAAAGTAAAATAATTCAATAACTCTTCTGTTGATTACATGTTAAAATAATATTCTAAGTATGCACTGATAGATAAAATGTTATTAAAATTAATTTCACCTGTTCCCTTTTACTTGTTTAATAAGGCTACTGGGAAGTTTGAAGTCATCTATGTGGCCTGCATTATATTTCTCTTGGGACACAGTGCTGGTATAAAACATGGAAAGAGCAGGAACGAAAATCTCAGTTGTGATTCAAGAGACTGTTAGGATTTGTCAGTCCTTTACAACCGCCTAGTCTTGAAAGCTCCACTTTCCAGAAGATGGGTGCTTCTGGTGTCATCTAAACACAGGAGTTAAAGCCAGAGTAGCCTGGGTTTGAGTCTGATCTCTGCCACCAAACAGCTTGGATGCCGATGACTTCCTAGCCAAAGTCTTGGGTAAGTGACTTAACAATTCAAGGCCAACCTACTCTTAATGCTATCGTGAGGGTTAAGTGCAATAATTAAGAGCCTAGCATTTTAAATGGTAAATATTACGATCCTCCCAGAAAATCTCTCTGACATGCTTTTAACGTATTTTGGTGTCACTTTATTTTTTTCAAAGGACTAATAAAATCAGTGGTCTTGCAGCTGCCGTTTTTAAAGACTTTAGCTTCTAAATTTTCAAAGGAATGTACTACTAGGAAAGATTATATAATCTTCATCTTTGAAGAACTTCAAGAAGCATACTATTTTCCTGGGGAGCTTAAATCAGAGAGCTGAGTAGGCAGATCAGTTTATACTACCTGTGCAATAGAGGCAAATCTGGTTCGAGAACTCATTGTTGTGAAATTCATTTGACATTTCGGAATATTGATTTCTTCATTTATCAAATGAAGGATGCATAAATAATCTCGGAAATCCCCTTATCACTATGCCTCTACTTAACAATGAATCTGGAGGTTAAATGTAAATTTTCCATGCACCACTTTCAAAGCTGTCCAGCCTACCAGTGCATTCTTATTTCTCACGGTTCCCTAGCCTACACGTTTTAATAAAGAAGCTTTCTGACAACATAACAACTCCTTGCCCAAGCTCTTTTACCCATGAACTTCCACAAACTCATTCTTCCCCCTACAACCACTTCTCAAAGTATCTATGTATGTATGGACTTTAGTAAAATGTCTCCTTCAACTCCAGGCTCAGGTTTAACTGCTCTCACCTTGGGGCGCTCACATGGTTGTTAACCAGCACATTTGTTAAACCGGAAAAGGTATGCAGCAAAATGAATGCACCATTTAATGTAATGTTAAAAGTAACTAAATGATCTGTAACACAATCATTTGTGAACTTGCATGCTGGCTGACCAGTTAAGTTTTATTTAATTGTGGACAGGATCCCTAACTAGGAATTTTATATTAGCGTATTTTCCGATCTGTGGATTAAATAAAGTTATTTCTAGCTTTGCCCTAGGGAGGCATGTGACTTTAGGAAATTAATTTTGCTTTCTGTGACATTGTTTGCTTATCTCTAAAAGAGAATTAATAATCATCACATGCTCAAAGGCATTATGACCTCACCAGAAAGGCTCAGTACAAGCTTAAGCTATCACATTTCCAACAGGCAGCTCTCATGGGAGGGGCTGATACATTAACAACAGCACCGAGGTAAAATTTTATTTAAAGAAGTAGGAATTTTGAGAACAAAAAAGAAAAAAAAATAACCGAATGCCTCATTGCCCCCCAGTGATAAGCGTATTCTTTCCCTCCTGAAAAGCCTGGCTTTCCCCTTGCAAAAGCAAGCCGATCTGGATGCTTCTTTTACAGTCAGTGCAATTCTTCTAGTTCCTCAAGAAGAAAATGTTAAGGTGCTGCCTTCACCTAGGACAGCAGTACCTGTAAGTCACCAACAGGTGAATTAATATCTTTGACTGTTTTTTCAACCAAAAGTGATGTAAATTAGGGGTTTTAGAGAAAAAACACTTTTTTAGGCACTTAGAGCACCGTTTCCTAGCAACTGGTTAAGAGAATGGAAGCTGTGGAAGTGGACAGATTTTAGTTCTACTACTGTTGTTATGCTTGTACCATTATACACAACAACAGCCTCAACAACAAGGGTTCCTCTGTTGGGCACACCTTGTTCAGTACAGCCCACATCCTTTCCAGCAAGAATCCATGCTGTTCCCTCTTCCTTCTCAATCAAGCCCTGCCAAGGAGCCGCAGACAGTGCGGCCCGCCCTGCACACTCTCACCCCGTCCCTCCCCGCCTGCTTACTGCCGCCCTCCCTTCCAGCCAGCGATCGTCGTCGCGGAGTCCTTCCTCAATCCAGGCCCAGCCCGAGTCCCTTTCTAGTGTGCTGCAGTATGCAAATTCATTTATAAACTTGAAGTTAGGATGGATTAGCCTTCCTAAGTGTGCCCAATTATTAAAATAGAACAATGAATACATGAAGAAAATAAGGCTAAACATCTGAAAAATCCTGTCCAATTCCAGGTCTCTTGGACCTAGGAGGAACAAGCAAATATGACAACAGTTTAGGTTTCCTATAGCCATCGTTAAAATCAAACAAAACCGCACTCCAAAAGATGATGTGAGTGCTAGCCAGGGAGTCTCCCTGAGAACAGCACACTGTCTTCTCGCGAGCCAGGTGTGTTTGCAATGACAGCGAATAGACAGTCGTTATTTCTCCAGCTGCTAACAATAAACCCTGCAATGAAGGGCATTTTCAAAGCACTCACCTTGTTGAGGACATCACGCTGGCAGCCAAGGTAAAGGTTGGGAAGAATTCGGGTTGGCCCAATGTTGGCAACAGGTAAGCAAGGCTGAGAAATGCAGGTGGGAACAAGGGTGGATTTTCCTTCACAGAGGCCAGGGAAACAACGGGAGAACTCAGCAAACCCACCTACGGATAAACAGGATAAAGTTATGCCAGGCACAAAGGTAAAAATTAGCCTCTGTGAACTACACAAATAAAATTGTTTAAAAAGAAAAGTCATCATGGGGATGTAAAGTACAGCATAGGTAATGCAGTTAATAATATTCTAACAACTATGCATGGTGTCAGATGGGCGTGAGATTTACTGGGATTATCACTTAGGAAGTTATGCGATATCTAATCACTGGGGTGTACACCTGAAACGGACACATTGCTGTAGATCAACTTTAATTGAAAAACTTTTTTAAATGACTTATAAAAAGAAAAATCAAATGCCATGCAATGGAGACTAATACAAAATAATACTGACTGTAAACTATAATTTAAAATAAAATAGAGAGGAGAAAATAGGAAAACCATACTTATTTTTATCTTACCCTCTCTGGTTTCAAATCTTATGTTTTATAATTTTCATAATATGTACGTAGAGCAGTACATGTATGCAATTTATAAACAAGTAAATTTGAAAAGAATAAAAAAAGAAAAGAAATATCAAATCCCGTCGATGCCCGTGGAAACGCCCCTCTTCCTGTCCGCACTGCTGGCTGCTGGGTCTGACTCCCAGCCCAGTGCCAAGTCTTGGCTTGTGGGGCCACAGCAGCAACACGAAGGGCGGGAGGGGGCTGGTCCGCCAGGACTCCGCTCTTCCTTACTCGCTGCACTTCCACACGCCCTGCAGCAGGGGCCCCCTGCTCCCAGCCCCACCACTCCCCATCCCCCACCCCCACGAATGCTGTTTGTGGAAGGTAAAGAGGATTTAAGGTAGGTGATAAGTAACCAAGGCAAGACAATTACAGAAACAAAATGAGGCTATAAAAAATGTGATGTGGGATCAGGCAACATTTCTTCAAAATAAAACTGATCAAGTTAAAAATTCTTTCTGGAATTAAGTTTAAATCTTCCTACTGTACATGGTAAAGGTATCAAAAACATACTCAGCTCTACTTACAGATCTTGTCTATGCCAAGTCCTGGATTCCCTGGGCAGTTAGTCAAGGTTCCCCTAGTTACCACTGATTCCTGGGGTCTCCTGCTCACTCCGCTGAGCACTGTAAGTGCTGACAGGCCCCAACTGCTTAGGGTACACAAGGGCTCTGGGCAAGATTCCTGCATTCAGATGATTTCTCTTTTTTCCTAGTCCTGTTCTTATAATGAACTGCTCCATGACCTTCACTAAGTCACAATCTTGCCACTTCTTAATGAAGGGAATTCTACCAGCCATGGGAGGCATTCTCACCTCCTTAGGGAACGGAAAAAAAAAAGAGAATGTATATACGGTCTTCACTGGGTGTCCAATCTAAATATTCCTTGCTATCTAAATCCAAACCTAGGAAGCAAAGAGATTCTGATAAATTGCCAGATAAATTTCTTGCTATCCAAATCTTCACTACTCACTACGATCAAACTTAGGAAACAAAGACATTTGGATCATAGAAAATACTTATATATTTTAATACTATTTAATTAAAAAACTAACATGCTAAATCTTATTAGAAGACAGGGAGGGCAGCCCCACTACTATCTCTTTAATCAAGCCTTAAACAAGACCTTAAAATCTCATTAAATATTTATGAGATCCATAAATCCATCTCCTTGAGTTACATTCTATTAGCGTTTAGGCCACTTTCAGAAAGGATACAAAACATGCCCTCCAAAACTGCAGACGTGCCCGGAGAGGTGGAGAGTGCCATCCCTTATTATCTCCTGTGTTATGTTCAACTCAAGCATAACCTGCTAGACTCCTGTGTCACAGTCTCTGCTGGGCACAGATTCCACAGTGCAGCCGGCTCGGATGGCAGGAAGTCAGTGACAACTAGGCCACCTGCAAAATGTAGAAGTGTGCAATGCTGGCCTTCCCCCTAAGTAAGTGCCTGCACTGCTTACACGTAAGCAGTTTGCTCTCTAAGGCTGCTGAGGCAACCTGATGGGAAGAGTGGGTGGTTCCATCATAGACACCCCCAGTTCCTCTGTGTGATGGACGAGGTCTCAGGACCTCTACCTACACAGTTTCATGAAGCCATTTCCAACCAGGACCTCCAGCTACACAAAACTCATTGTTACTTCACACTTTAAAGCTCTTCTCTCATCCAGGAACACCAACCCCCATCCCACCCACGCATGGACCACAGCATACAAACCACAAACACAAGCCCCATGACTGTGCAACAGAGAAAATAAGAACACTAGGCTCTTGAACCCGAGTTCACATCCTGGCTGCACCACCTTTTGGTTGTCTGAGTTGCACAAGGTACTTAAAACCCTCTGGTTATTAGTCTCCTTATCTACAAATAGGGGTAATGGTAGTACCAACCTCACAGAACTGTTGAAAGCATTAGATTAGTTAATATATCTAAGTACTTTGTGCTCGGCACACAGGAAGCACTCTAACAGGTATCAGTAATGAGTACTCCAGTGCAGTGATCATGCATGTAGGGCTCAGCCCCATCCGTGAAGCCTTCCTCCAACCTTTATCTACATCTAGTTGTTTTAACTTCACTGTGTTAGGATTCACCAGAGACACAAAGTTGGAGCAGGGGACGGTGGCGGGGCGGGGGGCGGGGTGGGGGGAAGCAATCCTTCTAAGGTTACATTTCCCAAATGTGCTCCAAAGCACTGGTGCCCTACAGGAAGTTGACCGACGAGATACTGGTCCAAAAAGTAAGAGAAATACGGCATATCACATGTCCCCAGGAGAGTCATAGCACACATTAGCATATTAAAGGCTCCAAAAAGTATCCAAAGAAACTAGTTTAATTTCATTGAACTCGAATAGTTTCCCAAACTTATTTGATCATGGAATTCCCCTACTCATCCCCCCTCCTAAAATGTATAAAAGCTAATGGAACTGACACATAGGAACTCTATTCTAGGGCCATTGCAACTACTGAAAAAAGGCATTCCTACACCTGCAAGGACAATCCGCAGACTCTCTCAAAAAAGAGGTCAGCCAACACTGGCATATGTATGTGAGTATCACTGTTCCACAAACACTGATTCATAATTTTGTTTCTATTATTGTTTTGTTCCTTTTCAGCCTCTCTAATTGCACAGTACAGTAATTTATCATGAGGTTTTTCCCTCCCAAAGTAGTTCTTGTAAAAAAGGTTAAAGCGTCTCATCATTCTTTGCCTAGCTTACACTTACCCAACACAATAACTGACAGGCACTATTTTGATTATAATTTAACTGTATGAGTTTAAGTTTTAACTTCTATTAACTCCTGTGGTTCTGCTGTTTCTCTGAAGAACTGTTTACATACATCTTCTTTTCTATTCTGGCTCTAAAACAGTTCATGGGATGCTCTCTCACTTACATCCAACACGGTAATATTCCAGTAAGGGTTTGCAGAGAAAAGAGAAACCAGACCATCCAAGGAAACTGCTTAAATTCCACTTTAAATGTAGAAGTAATCATACTTATAAATAATGTAAGTATTCAGAATTATCGGACATTTACTGCATGACAAGCATCGCTCTAAGCACTTTACAAATATTTATTCAATCTTTACAACTACCCTATGAGGTAAGTAGGTGCTCTTACTATTACCTGTTTTTTACAGATTTAAAAAACAGAGGTTCAGAAAGACAGAGGGTGCTAACTGGCAGGACTCAAGTATGAGCCCCAGCAGTCTGGCTCGAGGCTGTCCCCTCAATCGCTGTGTCATATCACTTCTCCATATACTATGAGATCAACTCTCCCCAGGATGTGGGACAGCCTTGCTGATACCCACGGAGTCCTCCCCTCACCAGCGGTGGTGACCTGCCAGGTCTCCATACCAGGCTAAAAGTGGCCATGGGCCTCTCCCGAGATGATGGAAGAGTCTTGCTTCCCCAAAGCCATACGGTTCAAAAGCTTCAATGATAGAGAAAAAAAGGGGAAGGAGGTCTGACAGGACCAGAGACGCAGGAGTCTTTTTAAATGCACTTCACATGCACGAGTTGAAACATAGTCACTTGTTTGTTCAAGATGGTGGTGAAGCTGAAGCCATGTCTTGATGGCTTTCGGCCACACTCAGAACAACTTTCAGAGGGGATACGATTCTGCAACCATCATAAACTGAGAGTCAGCCTGCCTGGGCTGTTCCAGGTCAGCTCCATCATTAATTAGTACAATGATCCTAAGGCACTTTTAACTTCACTGGACCCCCAAAGTGGGTGTGGCTTCTAGAAAATTCTAAGACAGAACAGAAATAATGAAAGAAACCCATATTCAACCCCAAAACAAAACCCAAAAGGCAAACAGAACAGCAATAACACATTGTAAAACACATTATAAAACAGAAAACTTTTTTTCACAAATCTTTTCAACTAACCTCCAGCACAAAGTAGAACAGCCTTAAAATATTTTACAGATTTCATTAAACTCAGAGCATTCATTTGGTGTTCAGTTTGGCTTGGTATGTCCCAAACCATAGCTCCTAGTCACCTGGAGAAAACATTACCTCAGGGCCCTACCAGGTAGCTCAGCTGGTTAAAGCATGTGGATACACCAAGGTTGTGGGTAAATACAAGAAGCAACCAATGAATGCATAATAATTCATAATAATAAGTGGAACAACAAAATATACGTCTCCCTCTCTCTCTCTCAAAACAATAAAAAAAGATTTTTTTTTAAAACCACTACCTCAGCCAAAGGGCACATTTTCCCTGATCTTTATCTATGACAATGTTCCACTCTGCTGACATCCTCTTTCACTGACAGTTTTTTCCATTCACTGACCTTTCATTCATTGTTGTACTCTAGTGACCCCAGTTTCATTTCATTAATTAACAACAGATGAGACACTGCCCCATTTCCCCAAACCCTTGAAAAACTAACTGTGGCCTCATCAGCAACTCAGCTTTGAAATATGTCTAAAATGTTCCTCTCCTCACAAACTAAATCTAATAGGAAGAAAAGCACAGTTCATTTATGTAAACTTTTTGTTACAAATGGCTGACACAAAATAAAGAGGCATCTAATCTATCT